ACAAGTTTCGACTTCTGAGGGTTGTTGTTCGTAGGGGTGCGACAGCTGGTTAACGGAGAAAAAAAGATTTTAAACAGATTTTAAACAGATATATGCAAAAGTTAACGGGAGTGAGATCAGAATCAATGATATTCCTGATATCGTAAAATATCATTAATTTGTATTTTTTTAGTAATTTATTTCTTTTCATACACTCTGTAAATAAACCAGAGGCTTGGGGCAACTATAGTCAATGAATCTAATTGCATCTTATCTCACTAGTCTGTAAACAATGAATCCAATTTACGAATATCCTTCATTGTTATTATCCTCTTTTATATAATAATTGACTACTTAGATGTACTCAAGGGCTGTGTGGAAAGAGAGACTCTGGTATTCGATAGTATTGTTGAAAATTTTAAAAATTTCTCAGGCAACGAATATCTTAACACATTACAATTCAACATAAGAAGAAAACTTCGATGAACTTCTGTTATATATTGAAACATTTGACACAAAGAATCTAGACGTTTTGATTCTCTCTGAAACTTGGTCAATTAACAACGTGAACAGCTTCAACATTCCACAATTTGATGTAATATATAACGATTCTAAATTCAATCAGAATGATGGAATTGTTGTATATCTCAAAACCACCATAGATTACATAACCTCAATATCATCAGCGTAGCTGTGAATTTCGGTGTGATGGAAACACCAAAGATGATTGGTTTTCATACAGTAGAGTAAGTCATTACATGACATTCAATAAAACCTATATAATCAATAAGCAGTAATTTTGTAGTATAGAGCCAGGAAAATTCGTTTCATAGTTTCATTTTTGTTTATATCATTAGAGTTCCCTAGGTTGACCGACAAGGTAATGTATTACAAAACTAATAAGGCTGCTGTTAATTTCGTCAAGATGCAGGATGATAGTAGTTGAGATGAATACTTTCCCTATCCTTTAAAAGTTGCGAATCTTTCAGTATACTTATATTCAAGACAAGCTTTAGTGCCCTTCTCCTAATTCCCACACCACCCACGACTTCCCACTACACAATACATCTAAGTTTCTTCATATATTCACCTTTCTCATCCACTTAATTCCAGATACTTTGGAGCAGAAGCAGCCAAAAAGAGGAAGAGACGAGACGCGAAGAAATTAAGGTAGGCGTAATTTAAGCATGTAATTGAAATGGAAATTCAGAATCAAACAAAGTAAAGCAGATCAAATCCGGTAAACTTTTGATTGAGATTAATGATGGAAATGGTCTTTGGGTTATTGTTTTATGGCAGTTTGCTCCATATTTACCAGAGACTTAATCTGCTCACTGAATACGAAATAGGGTTTTATTGTTCGGAGTCATAGTGAATGTTTCGTGAATTATGAATGTCAATGAGGAATTAAATCTGTTCTAAGACAATGCGACCTGACATGAATGGTTTATTCATTGTCATTAACATAATATTAGTTGCTGGCTTGGGCGTAGGAGATTTTGTACTTATCCTCTGGTGTTCTGATAATTGTTGACAATTGATATGTTGATATTGATATCTTACATCGATATCCAAACAGAGACGAAGCCAAAAAAAGCACGTCAAGTTTGATCATAGGTCACGGTTTTGCTCATTGTTTTTTTTTTGATAACCCTGGCGAAGTGCATCAGGAGTTTTTGCCACATAAAGTTGTATTTTGGTAAATTTTCGTTATATGGACACCCGGCGATTTTGAAAAAATACGTAATCTACGCATCAAAATACGTAAGTACAGTCAAAAATTTTTTCAAAATCGCCGGGTGTCCACATAACGAAAATTTACCAAATGTTGTATATCTTCATGGTCTTGCCTCATTTTGGGTCATCAATACATTTCATTAAAAATATTAATTAATTAGTTACCATGGTTTCGAAGAGTAATTTGGAAAATCTCCACTGGAATAGATCCCTTTCTCAATTTTCTGAAAACGCCTTATCATTGCTCTATATGTTTATGGTTTGTATATTAGGTTGTTTCAAAAATTTATTCCGTTTTTATGAGTCTCCACTGCAGTATCACAGTTATTCAATTCATTCGAAATAATCGCCATTTGAATAATTGAAAGTCGAATAATTCCAACAGCATGAAAATCGCATGCTCGGGATTCGATGAGATCGACAAAGGCCGTCTTTGCGGGTTAAAGGGCACGACAGGAGTGAAGGTAGTCGCATTGCCGACTCTTCAGCCAAGAAAGCGGCTGGACTAAGAATTTCAGGACCCAGTGGCACCTAATGGGGAATATTCCTCAATTTGGGTTATTACAGCAAATGCAAGTTTGAACAAAATAAAGTTGAGTTTGATTCATAAGATTTTCAAATTCACTTCAAAAAGTATTCAAATTGGTGTTTCAAATGTTGGGTTTCAATTTTTAAAGGGATTTGTTTCTAATTCACTTATCGGCAACAGCGCCTATATCAAGTTGAAATAATTTATACGTACCTAGATATTCAACTTTGAAAAAAGAAAATTATCTTTATAAATCAACAATTAAGGCAAAATATAAATTATAGTTCAATACCACCTCCACAAGCCACATAAACAACAGTTGTTTTGTTCTTTATTTATATAGAGGAAGATAGGTTAGGTGCACAAAATGTCATATGTCACAGAATGTCTCGGAACTCGGAACATAAGTAAACAGAACAGCACGCCTCTGAAATATGTCATCTTTGTTTGTCTCATACAGGTAACAGATTCATTGTCCTCTATTAGCTATAACCGATGTTGCCAAATAGTGAAATAGAAACGAATCCCTTTAAATGTTGAATGCATTATTTCATTCCTCTATTTTAAGTATTTAAATAATTTTTTAAAGAAAAAGGTTGAAATGATAAGTTTAAACTGCGATAAGTTTTAACTGCTCTTTTATGAAAACTACTTGATTTTCATCAGGAGGAACATTCCCTATTGCAGAACTAGCCAAATGTTACACCCACGCTCAATTCCTAAAGAGATGGGATGGAATCAAAGGATGCAATCTTGCCAGGATCACCTTGGGCGACCCTGGGAAGCTGGCGCCGAAGAAGTATCTGGCGATGACCAGGAAAAGTCTACGCTTAACAGTAGAATTTCTGACTGGCCACTGTCAACTAAGGAAACACCTCCATGATATGGGGCTAGTGAACACACCTCTATGCAGGGTCTGTGAACAGGAAGATGAAACTGTCAGGCATGTCCTATGCGAATGTCTGAAGTTATCGTCAATAAGATAGTGTGTGTTCGGCGAGTCTTGGCCTACACCTGCCGATATAAAGGAGATGTCTCCCAGTGACCTGTCCACCTTCCTGGAAAGGACAGGATGGACTATGACCTAGGAGGATGTACAATGGATCACATGTGGCCTAAGTGCTAAAGGCTTACACTCACCCTCCCTACTCTACAGATACAGAATTCGAACAGCATGAAAATCGCGTACTCGGGATTCGATGAAGTCGACAAAAGCCGTCTTTGCCTGGTCCTTACCAGTGCCGCCTGCTGCTGACGCAATTTTTGGTACAATTCGTCGATTTCTTCACAACAGAACTCTGCTGTAATGATTTAGCCCGGTTGCAGAAAATTATTTAGTGAATCTACTATACAGTAATCGTAATCATGTTTTTTTGGTGAGAGCTGACGCCTAGTTCTTCCACCATCCCACGCACCTTTTGTGATAGGTGAGTCTCCACCAGGATCCTCAAATCTTCGTCTTCTTGGATTACTGTAGGTCCACCACTTCGGAACTCATCTCCGAGACTAACATCTCCGGAACGAAATATTTCAGACGAACGTCGAACAGTACGTTAATTAACAATATCATTGCCAAATGCCTGGTTAATTTATCGAGCTGTTTTGGTAGGCCATTGGTTCAATTTGAATTCGTAAGAAAAAATGTTAGTTTATCTTATCTTAATTGTTGCAATAAACTTGAAAGCGATAACATTTTTGAATAGAGAATGACGGGATCTTTTAAACGATATATCACAAACCTATACTTCCCATTCAAAAAATTGGGGGTTGTACCTGTCATTCGAAGGGGGTTGAAGGTAGGGGTAGCATTTTTACGTTGAAGATTGTCAAATTATAATTCACATTTGACATGTTTCGGGATTTTTTTAAATATGTACAGTAACCGAAATAATGAATTTATTCCATTTGGGTTTTACACACTGTATGGAGCTACAAAAACACATGATATTAAAACGGAGAAATCTTCTGAAACAACCTAGTAATTTTCATGAAAATATGTTTATTATATTAATTTGATCGTACTAACGAAGAAATTTGAAAACGTTTCTCTTTTGTGTACTACAACTTTACAATCACCCCGTAAAAAACACTCCATTTTCATATCAAATGGAGGTTCTCAAATTAATCTTACATTCATTTCATAAGAGTTGTCTTTGAAAAATAAGCATAGTATTTCTTTTCCCGAGGCGCAATTTTCACATTCTCGACTTACTCACAAGTAAAGGCCAAGTAGAATCAACAGGCTGAACTCGTGACTATCAATTACCAGAGAATATCTGCTAACAAGTTCACTATGACGAGAAAACGCCGGGAACTCGGTGCGGATAAAAAGAAATAGAAAATAAATCGATTAAAGTGCGTCACTGTAGCCTGTCTCCTGTAGCAACCCGATTATGGATGTGGAGGCGTTTTCTGGACGCTCTCACTATGAACCGTAAAATTGATGGCATTTCTTATGAAACACTATCGCTTTATGGTTCTCAGTCTCCAGTGATTATGACTTTTTATATTTCAATTCATTTCCCAACTTAGAAAGAATCAATTTAATGTAATGCTTTTAAATCCAACGTTATATCTCCATCCAGACAATCCATGTTTCGACAATATGCGGAAGCAAATACTTTCAGGTAGATCCATCATGATTATCATGAATCAAAATTGATTGAGATGACAATATACACACATCGGAAAAGTCTAGGGATATTTTTATAACATACTAAATATCATAAAAATAAATGCATGAGGTCGTTTAATTTCGATTAAATTGGTACACTCGACCACCCTGTAGATTTCTATGGGTTGAACAAAGCCTGCAAAAACGGTAACTAATCTTTTATCAAGTTTTT